GCACAGCCTGGATCTGGACATGCACGCCTGGCACGTTGAATACCTCAAACATAATCTGCACCATGCGCTCTCTATTCGCCTTGGGGTTCAAGGGCGCCTCAGTGAGGAGCACCTAACGAGAATTGATAGTGACAATGACCAAATGTGCACCTACCGGGTGGTCCTCAGGCTGAACTCGAAGCTCATTATAGAAGGTATGATGCCATATTTTCTCCACGTCGTCCCAGTTGGTGACAATACCGTGCTCAATAGGATACTTCAGAGTGAGAACTCCTCTCTTGGACTGAGCCTCGTCACCAACGTACCACTCCCTCTGGTCCATACCAACCATGATGCCGGGCCTGACAAGAAGCCACCGTAACATGACATATATAGTGACAATGGATTTTGCTCACATCTTAGGCCTCCCCACAATGGAGGGGAAGATGGCTCGAGGGGCGTCGTCACCTGCGAAGCCCGCCTTACAAAGACCACTGCCGTTATCAATCACAACAGCGGGAGTTTCGTCAGGGGACTCAGTGTCAGACATAATTCTCAAATAAGACAGAAAAACTACTAGCGATGTTCAGTGCTGGCGGATGGGCTCCAGAGGGCTCCACACAGCACAAACGCTTCACAGTGTTACGCTAACACTGTTAGCTCAACACTATCAGCCTTACACAGTGTCAGAATATAGTCGCGCAAGTCGGCGTTGAGCGAAGCGTGTGTTGAGCTCATCAAAGCGTTTATAATACAGGGACAGAGAGGCGTGCTGATGTACAACTTAGAATGTACAAAAGTAACCTCGTCCAAAGCTAGCTCGTCGACCCTGACACCACCGAGCTTGTTTCATAGCAGCAGTTGAACGTAGGAGTCAAGGAAGGCCTCAAGTTTGCTTTAAGTAACCTCGAGTGAACCCGGTTAATCATTTCACTGCTTGAGTAAACACTATAAGTTGCAGATTGGCAATTCTCAAAGCACGCAAGGTTTCAATGCAGACACTCGAGCATTCTATGACATGCAACCTTTACGCCCTGAGTTTCCTTTAGGAAGAATTGGTCCTTCTTGAACGTATACTTTAGTACCGCGTTTGAATAATGCACCCCGCAGGAGTCGAACCAGAGACCTTCCGAATAGAAGGACCTCATCGCATCCCACAAACAGTCGTTGAAGTTTAGCGAGATTTCAAGCAAGTGCTCGTTGTTCGAGTAACTGCGAGGGTGGTATGGGACCAAACTGGACTCAAAGTTGTGCATAAAGAGGAGCGTGACACACGATTTATACACTCGCACAATAGGCCTGTTTCATAGGAGCAAATTGCGCCTTAAACTTAAGTAACGCCTTCAGTATACCTCGAGTAACTCCTCAAGTGGCTCCTAACCTTCGAGCGCCTTAAGTTGAGTATCCTTGTGAAACTGGCCCAATAGTATAGGTTAGTGACGCGGTGAGAAATTAGTGGCATCACGGGCGTAGATACCCAAACAGGCCCTTGGAAATGGGTGCCCGAATGTCGTAATTGAGGTATCCGAGCCACTCATAGGTGTTTTGTAGTCGTTCTCTGGGAAGCTCAGATTATTGTCAAATTATTTCGCTTTCGACTGAATAATTTCAGTGGTTGAGGCTCCCATTGTTAGTTGCCTATGTTGGAGCCATTTTAACTGCACTGTTGTGGCCTTGTCTTCTCTCAGCGATTGATGGAATGTCGTGATGACCCCACTGTGAGCATCCATCTAGCCTTCATGTCAAGTGAGTGCTGTCGGGCGTCGCTGTTACTGTTCCTACCCATTGTGCGTGTGGGCATAGCTAATCTTCCATCCTCTCTGCAGTGTAGGACCCGACCCATACTCGGAACGGCTATGTGTCGAATACCCACTCCAAGGGCATCCCCTGTGTTTCTAGAAAACACGAGACCACGCGCACAGTATCGTGACGCCGGTTGTCACGTGCGCGATCGGCCCCGCTCAATGCATCCTTTCCCTGAGGCATTGTTTGCTAAGTCTTTTCGGCATCGTTACGGCTTACGACCCCACATTTTTTCTGTGTAGCCTCTCATTTCCCCATCTGCTGAAGCCCAACTCACACAACCTATTTGAGACACCATCCTCAAACAGCTGACATATAGCCAACTCATTTGCTTGCTCACTTCATGCGATTTGTAGTTTGTGCTCACCATGGACACCGTTCATATCGAGAACATTGGAATCGTCGCTCCCCTGGTCTTCATCATTGCGATGCTGTGCATGCCACCTGGAGTGGGCGGAGGTATTCTCTTCGTGCCTCTACTGAATCTGGTGGGACGCCTTCCGTCCAAGAATGCAACTGCGATGAGTCAAGGGCTTATAATGTCGGCTACGGTCGCTAAGGTAAGGATGTACTTTGCCCTTGAGGATAGACATTTATATTTTCAAGGTCCTTTTCTCTCTGCACGCGCAATATACCTCAAGGCGTAGAGGTAGAGTGATCAATCTACCGTATGTGGTGCTCATGTTGCCATGCATGATAGTCGGTGGTTTAATCGGTATATATATTTACTCCTGGTTACCCGTGCTCATCCAGCTGATTCTCTACGTTATCACGGCACTCTTCGGATCGGCTATGTCATTATTGAAGGGCTTCCATTTATGGCGAGCAGAAACATCAGAGAAAGAAAAAGCGAAGCGAGATGCGGAAGTCTCTGCAGGGGGCACTCTCAAAGTGCCAGCTTCGAGTACAGTTGAAACGGTCGTACCACCGCTACTGCGGCCGATAACGAGGCGCAAGGCTGTGGCCTGCGTGATCACCATCTTCGCCGTATGGATATTGGTGATCTTGTCTAGACTTATCCTAGGATCCTCTTCAACTAGAAGTAGGCCACTATTTACCTTAGTGCTCCACTATCACTGTTGCTAGGTATAGTTGGTATATCCTATTGTGAAGGCTTGTACTGGGCTCTCTCTGTTGTTGTCGTTGTGGTTCTCTTGATGGTTCCGCTCGCATACGCCCTGATCGACCGATCGCCTGGATCTTCGAAAGCTGCATTGACCTTGTCTGGATCGTTGCTAGGTGAGCACTTGAAACCCGAAGTTCCTAGTAGATAGTCGCCGCGGTTTCGACGTGATCGCTTCGTGATCCACGTTCTGTCAGGTATTGGTTTTTTAGCAGCAGTAGTGGGAATCAGTGGCGGTATCATCATTACTCCGTTGGTCATGTTCACCGGCTTGACACCACCTCAGGCATCAGGCACTGGCTCAGTGGTCATTCTAGTTAACAGTTCGAGTAAGAGCATGCCCTTCAGGGTCTCTCGATAGCATGTATTGCTCAGGCCTTGCCCTCTCCTTTGGTCTCGGTGGATATCTACCTGATGCATCCGCCCTTTGGATCATCGCTCTTCCCTTCTGCGGTGCTCTTACCGGCGATATAATTCTAACGAGGATCATGCGACGAACAGGACGTACGAGTATCCTGGCTTTTCTATTGTCCAGTCTTGCCGCTCTCGGGGCCATAATAGTGCTGATTACAGGAATAATATCGATCGTGAACGATAGCAACACCGGGGCCAGTCCCCTATCAACGGGCAGCTTTTGCTAGTCGCACTGGCAAATTCAGTGAGTCGCTAGCTGTATACCCATTCTCTCTTTTTTACACGTATGTTTTGGCCCTGTCGAGTATAATTTCAACTGACATTATTGTCAGGAACTTTTTTGTATTCTTTTTTTGTCTTATCTGAAAAAACCTGAACGCTTTGCGCAAGCTAGTGTTGGACACTTGTTCCTGGGATGAACGTGGATACCTGAGAGTACAGACTCCGAGGTGCTCTACATCATTCAGAAATCGAGTCGGCAAATAGTATCGCGCATAAGGATTGCGATGTCCTGACTGAGAAAAGCAATTCCGCCGAAGTGGACATCAATTTCAGAGGACAACCCGGGACTGCTCCTGGTGATCCTTTCAGTTCCTAAGGGGATACCTTAGAGCTAGGATTTCTAGCCTAGGAATTCCTTACGCTCTTCAAAAATAAAAGTTTTACGGAGAAGTTTTAAAGAGTTGCTCCTAACGGAAAGAACGGTAAGATTTTCCTCCTCGAAGGTACGCTTGACGGAGCAACTCCCAAG